ACCCGGTGTTCGAAACCGGGACCCCATGATCGGCATTTTGCTTTTCGCCATATAGATTTTAATTTTTAGAGACATGCAAGAAAATTGTTGTTGCTTTTTGACCATATAGATTTTAATCTTTAGAGACATGCAAGAAAATTGTTGTTGCTTTTTGACCATATAGATTTTAATCTTTAGAGACATGCAAGAAAATTGTTGTTGCTTTTGACCATATAGATTTTAATTTTTAGAGACATGCAAGAAAATTGTTGTTGCTTTTGACCATATAGATTTTAATTTTTAGAGACATGCAAGAAAATTGTTGTTGCTTTTGACCATATAGATTTTAATTTTTAGATACATGCAAGAAAATTGTTGTTGCTTTTTGACCATATAGATTTTAATTTTTAGAGACATGCAAGAAAATTTTTGTTGCTTTTTGACCATATAGATTTTAAATTTTAGAGACATGCAAGAAAATTTTTGTAAATTTATCTTTTTGGCTATATAGATTTTAAAAAAGACATGCAAGAAATTTTTTATAGATTTTGCTACGGCAAACTAGATTTTGCTGTGGGACATAGATTTTTGTGAGATTTTTGCTGAAATGCCGTAGCACACGGCAATTGAAATTGCGAATTCTGCGGGAGCGTGATCCTTACCTGTAGGAGCCGACCCATTCGTGTTACAACTATACTACTACTATAGCATGTCCACCCCATAAAGGTTTTTTTATAAAACGAGCACCTAATGTTAAGTGGTTGCTGTGGCCCATAGACATCTTGCAACAAAATTCAGATGCGTTGTCATCCGTGAGGACTAAGATGGAATGCCTCGTTTCTAGTAAGAAAGAGTCTCCGGTTCTCTACACTCACCATACGGGACACAGCAGCATTAGGCTACTATTTTACGCTGGTATTCTGTAAAAGCGTGGTCCTTCCCCGGTAGAACCAACCCATTCGTGCTACAACTACACTACTCATATAACTGCGGTATTGCTCTACCACTTATAAAACAACAACAAGGTGACAAGACCTTCCATTGACATTCTACTTCTAAAATCGAATTGCCTCGAAGAGATTAAATTATTCGCCTCAATTAATTTTGTTAGTCTTTTATTAACCACCCCTCAAGTAGTTTGTTCAACTTTGTCAGAATGAATATGGTTCGGTAGTTTTGCGGAGTCTTTAGGCTCATTTGAATAATTTAACGCACGCCATCTTCCAGTTTTTCGAAAAAATACGAGTCATCAGACTTAGGTTGAATACGTCAGTTCGAGGCAGGGAGCTTATATTTTTGGTTTCTTTTAAAAGAGCGTACTTTAGGCCATCGATACCCGGGGCTTTATCATCTACAGGTTACATAAAGAGTTCGGTATAAGATGTTTTGGATAAATCTTTGCCACTAGGTTTTATCCTCAGTTTGTAATTCACGTAGAATATTACCAAATAGCTAAAGTTTCTCCCACTGTTGTAGAAGGCACTGCATTAATTTGTCAAAAAGAGTGCTTAGCTTCCTTCGCAACTTTAATCTTTAGTCACCATGAGGTTTTGCTGTCATGTTCCGTTTTGCATTACTGCAAGCCGTTGCAAACAAAAATAATAAAACAATTATACGTTTGAGCTTGTCATCTGAACATTTTTGCGTTTGCTTGTGCAAACGGTCTCTGCGTCGCACACAATTAGTGGTTTAATTCGAGAGTGGTAAGCATATTACTTTCTCTGCATTTCAATGTTAGTTTATTCGTATGTTTGTTAAACGCATTGATGGCTAATGGTCTAAAATAAACTTAACTTAAGTTTTATTAAGGTCGTGTGAATCTAATGTTTCGGACAAATCAATTTCAAAGATATCTTTTCAGATCGCGTGTATGTTGCAAACCTTACCCCATTTAGTATCATTGAGTTGGACATAGTTAACGATAGAACTAATAGGATAATATCATGATCAGTTATGTCACTACCGCCGTATATATTAAATATTTCGAAGACATGTGAGGTTCGCCAAAACGCATTGGGGCAGCGCGGCGGACAATTCCCTGCCTTAAAACCCTTTCAGAAATGAGCGGGAGGCCTGTGCCCAGCTGTGGGACGTATACAGGCTGTAACTTTTTTACTTTTTATGTCATTACAGCAGACTACATAGTTTTGTTTACAAAGATTAAGAGAAAATAATATTTGTCCTAGACCTTAACTCACCTGCAAAGTGACGTAACAATGATTTTCCCCAAGGAAAAAACGGAACAGAAACAGTCTTGAAGGGATAAAAGAATCTGAAATGTAGTGCTTCCAATGGACATCTCTGAGTATTATACATAGTCATAGTCATAGTCTTTATTGCAATCAAATGATTACAATAGATGTTATGTTTAAAAAACGGAACAGAAACAGTCTTGAAGGGATAAAAGAATCTGAAATGTAGTGCTTCCAATGGACATCTCTGAGTATTATACATAGTCATAGTCATAGTCTTTATTGCAATCAAATGATTACAATAGATGTTATGTTTAAAAAACGGAACAGAAACAGTCTTGAAGGGATAAAAGAATCTGAAATGTAGTGCTTCCAATGGACATCTCTGAGTATTATACATAGTCATAGTCATAGTCTTTATTGCAATCAAATGATTACAATAGATGTTATGTTTAAAAAACGGAACAGAAACAGTCTTGAAGGGATAAAAGAATCTGAAATGTAGTGCTTCCAATGGACATCTCTGAGTATTATACATAGTCATAGTCATAGTCTTTATTGCAATCAAATGATTACAATAGATGTTATGTTTAAAAAACGGAACAGAAACAGTCTTGAAGGGATAAAAGAATCTGAAATGTAGTGCTTCCAATGGACATCTCTGAGTATTATACATAGTCATAGTCATAGTCTTTATTGCAATCAAATGATTACAATAGATGTTATGTTTAAAAAACGGAACAGAAACAGTCTTGAAGGGATAAAAGAATCTGAAATGTAGTGCTTCCAATGGACATCTCTGAGTATTATACATAGTCATAGTCATAGTCTTTATTGCAATCAAATGATTACAATAGATGTTATGTTTAAAAAACGGAACAGAAACAGTCTTGAAGGGATAAAAGAATCTGAAATGTAGTGCTTCCTTGCCAATGGACATCTCTGAGTATTATACATAGTCATAGTCATAGTCTTTATTGCAATCAAATGATTACAATAGATGTTATGTTTAAAAAACGGAACAGAAACAGTCTTGAAGGGATAAAAGAATCTGAAATGTAGTGCTTCCAATGGACATCTCTGAGTATTATACATAGTCATAGTCATAGTCTTTATTGCAATCAAATGATTACAATAGATGTTATGTTTAAAAAACGGAACAGAAACAGTCTTGAAGGGATAAAAGAATCTGAAATGTAGTGCTTCCAATGGACATCTCTGAGTATTATACATAGTCATAGTCATAGTCTTTATTGCAATCAAATGATTACAATAGATGTTATGTTTAAAAAACGGAACAGAAACAGTCTTGAAGGGATAAAAGAATCTGAAATGTAGTGCTTCCAATGGACATCTCTGAGTATTATACATAGTCATAGTCATAGTCTTTATTGCAATCAAATGATTACAACAGATGTTATGTTTAAAAAAAAGTCCGCATTTGAACCCAGTTTGGGCGTAGCAATTATAAAAATATTAAATTATTATTTTTAAACTACAATATTAGATTTCATTAATACATTACATTGTTAGATTATATTATTTTAAAATTCTGTAAATTTAATTTAATTCATAATCACAATGTCAAGTAAAAAGTAATTATTATTATATTATATATACATATATATATATATATATATATATATATATAATAAAAATAACAATTGAATAACAAAATTAAATTAAATTAGATAGGCACAGGCCGAAGTTGTCCACACAAATTAAATAATATTTGTATCAAAATATTCATTTAAATTATAGAAACATTTTTCAATTCAATATAACTTTAATTTGCATAAAAATAGTGTAGTATTCGTTAAATTTTTTATATCATTTGGAAGGTTATTAAAAATTTTAACTGTCATACAGTAGGGACTAGAGCTATGCTAAGCAAGAGTAGATTTCGTCAATAGTAGCCTATGCTTATTTGGTCTAATTGATTATTTGTAATTTGTTTCACTTAATTTGGTAAATAGTTCTGGGTGGTTTTTTACAAATTTGCATGTTTCCCAAATATAAATAGACGTCAAAGTCAAAATTTTAAACTTTTTGAAGTGTGGCTTACAACTTTCTGGAATTTTTATGTTTGCCAAGATTCTTATATTTTTTTTTGCATTATAAATAATTGCTGTGCATCTTTACTATTTCCCCACAACATGACACCGTATGACAGCCACGAAGATGTGTATGCGTAATATGCTGACAGAGCGCTGGGGACATCTATGGTTTTCTTTATTTCTCGTAATACGTAAGTGAATTTTGATAGCCTATTTTTTATTATTCATACGGCAACTTAGTCACTAGCTTTAAAAGCAAGTGTTATTTTTGTATGATGTGGAAATAAAACAAACGTTGGCTTCGAATAATCTTTATTGGACAAATGTAAACTTCTTACGAAGCCATTCAATGTACATCAACTCGACTAATAAAATACATTTATTTATTTCATATTACTAATATTAGTTCAACTAACTAGCGGTACATTACAAAGTCACACTTGCCCGAGCGGATCATTACACCTAATTACATTAAAAAATAACTTTTCATATTTCATAATTTTTACTCTAGAAGGTGACATAATAAGAGCTATATTTGTACGCAAGTTTTAGAATACAAAAGACTTGATATAAGTACATTAAATACAAGTGTGTGTGTTAAAACGAAAGTAGGAACTTATACCGCCATTTCATATATACTTCAACGGTTGTAAAGATAATCTTCAAGCGTTACAGACTAACAAATAATTGATACAAATGTACGGACAAACAGCAGTATGTTTAAATATAACAGTCGTTACTAGGTTGCGTATGTTAAAGGGCTGCCAGTCGTCTAGGCCTCATCGCCTGCCGTGCTGCTGTCTGTTAAAAAATAAAAATCGGTTAGAGTTTGACATGTACCATGTTTGAAGACTTTATGTGCATTTAGGTACATATGTACAACAGAGTGCGAACCACATACGGCCTTACTTATAATTGCTTGATTATCTCGTAATATCTATCTCTGTGTCCCTCTCTTTCTAATATTATTTAGTAAATAGAGAGAGAGAGAGAGAGAGAGAGAGAGAGACCAAAATTAAGGTTTCTTAAACGACGTCATTTTTATGAGTAAAACGATTAAAAAGTATATTATACACAGTAAAGTGTAAGTATTAGAAATTTTTGCTATAGTTAAATAGATAAAGTATATTTTATTCATTTTGGTAAAAGCAATTAAAAAAAATCAGCAAACACAGCTATTGACTGGTGGTAGGAATTGTAAATTTAAATAGTCGGGGTAAGATTTAAAACCACAACACAGATAAATCAATATTCCATCCATTGCCTCCGAGGTTCCGCGACCCAGGACTCACGCCTCAGTGGACTGATTGCCGAGCCCTGCGGTTATTAATACGGGGAGAATATTAAGCCCTTAAATCGTCAAACTTTTTAATATATGAAGGTACATCATATAGACATTACAATTATTACAGGAATCTGTTAATGAATAATCTTTAAAAAGTGATAATTCAAAAATAAAAAGCTATGTTCTTATTTTTCGAAAATTAAAAAAAAAACACATATATTTATTTAACTGCTTTTGAGTATGATTTAAAACGTAGAAATACTTATCTACGAATAAACCAATATTTTTACCTTATGAAGGTACTAATAGATAACGTTTATTTTATTTTAATGATCGACAACTACTTGTTCAGGGACTCATTTTCATTAATTATTCAATATGTACATGTATGTATTCCTGATAACGGCACTCCTCATTAGGGTTGTCAACTTTTTAGCTTTAATTGGTTATTATTAATATTTCGTTCCGAAATGCACTGTACAAAGGCAGTACGATGTACTTTTTTTTATTTGTTGAAAATGATTTCTAAAAGAGCTACAAATAAGCCAGTAACGCCCTTTTATATATTTAATATATTCCTGATATTAGTATTAACATTACCTACACGTATATCTCACACGTGTTCTCGTGGGCATTTGACTGCCGGCGGGTTTACGCTCTCGTTTTATCGTTTAAATGATGGATTTCTATGAATTTTCTGTATCAAGTGTCTGCGGGAGTGAACTATTAGTGGAAACGAATTAGTGGAACAATTGCTCCAACGTTGATAAACCCCAAATTATTTTGTCCCCTTAAGCACCTTAAGCACTTGAGATAAATATTGTCATCGATTGGCCATGGGCCATGCCACGAGGAGAGCTATTGTTTAGTGATTGTTTATTATAATACGAGTATAGATATTTGAGTATTTCGATATACTCGTACGTTTAGAAACTATAATAACCTTTTCCATACAACCGACTGTCAAATCTTTACATGAATAATCTAACAAAGCTGTTTTTGTTACTGTCTTACTTATTATAATACCCGGCAAAACAAGCTCGACTGCACGACACATCACGCGTCCAATCTATTACGTTGTCGAACGAATTGACACATTTTATCGTTTATTTGCAAACGTCACACGTAATAATAATCACGTCGCCGTTTAGTAACATGGCGTTCCGTGAAGCCAACCCGACCGTATTAATATTCTTCCATATTAATTGCGCAAACCTCGCGGCGATTAACTCTGGAATTGTTGTGATTCGATTAACTTTGAATATTTTCTGTTTACGTTGTAACGTTGTAAATACCTCATGTTATGTTTTCAATACAAAGACAGACTTAATAAAATGTTTTTTGTAATTGATGGACTATTCAATTTCATAAACTTATTATTTTAGATAACGTGTTATTTTATATATTATCATAAGATATACATAATGCCTGCTACCCGTACCTATTATCACGTGGCTAGCGTAAGAGGCGACAGAAGGAATGGAAACACGCGGGAAGCAACATTTTCCTGATAGTTCAATAATAATAATAAAAAAGCTTACCGGCAAGCGTGACATTTGTATACATTTATAATAATAATAATAATAATAATGTCCTCCAGACCGAATTCAGCCATCGACGCAGGACAGGATTATAGTGCCCAAGTGTATGCGCAAGCACAGGTGCACTCTCTATTCCCTCACTCTCATAATCCGATGGGACGGTAAACCGACACGACCGGAGAGAGATCAGGCGCAGGATCAACGGCTTTACGTGCTTTCCGAGGTACGGGGGTGAGACACCGCCAACTTCCTGACTCCGGGCAACTACTGAGAATTTCTTAACGGAAAAACTCAATAACTAGTTTTTTTTGGCCCGACCCGGGATTCGAACCCAGGACCTCATGACCAGCAGTTGCACTACTACAACCACAAGACCAACGAGGTACATACACTACATACATACATACATACATACTTACATACACTATGGTAAATGTTCCTCCTACGAGACAGTTCACTGTGAGGTTGGCTATGTTCAGCAGTGGATTTTATGGACTATGATAACAAGTACACGTGACCGGTACACGTGACCGGTACACGTGACCGGTACACGTGACCGGTACACGTGACCGGTACACGTGGCTAAGAGCACTATTTATACACTATCACATACCTAATTAAAATTTTATGTTTTTTATATTTTTTTATTTATTGTATGTTTTTATCTTCAGTTTTAGTTTTATTTATAACAGTAAATATTGAAAAACTGGGTTCAAATATTTAGATATTGCAATATACGACGTATCTTTCATCGTAACTGTTGAGTTGGAAATTAATGCAAAAATTTAATATTTTTTTTAGTATTTGTCTTTAAATATACAAATTCATAAACAATCTTACTACATTATCTGCTTTTAGAATTTCACTAGTGCGCTTCCCAACACTATAATATTTGTTTTTCCGTAAGCCTTTCCACAGCCAGCGGGGCGGAGTTACTCGAAGCTTGATTCCACCCGTGTCGATTGTCTATGCTCGATACTCTTTTATTATCACATTTAATTCCATTTATAGACTTTGTTACTTCTCGGTGTGAGGATAGGTGAGGACAGATTTCAACTTATTTTAAACAACAAGTTAAAGAAGATCTAAGAATAATATAACTACATCGCTTCAACTTTATATAGATATATATACAGATAATGCTCTAACATCAAACATAAACAAACAATGAAGTTTTGCAGAAGGGTAAGGAGTTCATATCAAGTTCGAAATGAAGGAAAGGGTTACTACATAAATATGTACAGAGGACCCCAACGGAACAATACACATATAACTAAATAAAGATACAACTAATATAGCAAATAGCATATCCATATAAACTAAAAAGTAGCATATCTTTAACAGTGTGTTTGATATTGTTTTCAATGATATACGAAAACGCCTTTAACATAATTCCTGCTAAACTATATCCTTGGAAAAAGATGTTATTTACAAAAGTAAACAGCGTATTACTTATAATTTTCATTCTTAGTTCAATAATTGCAATTTACAAACATAATTACCGCTAAATATAAAAAATCGTCCTAGTCTACACAATTAATATGAAATCATAATATAAAACAAACTACCAAACTGAAATAGTGAAGAAAGAGTTGACAGATGACACTACTGTGCAATATTTTGATAGTACAAAGATACACGTGCGGGGTGAAGTGGCAACGCGCCGGAGCGTGCTGTACCGTGCTCATCCATATCGAGAACGTCTATATCGGGGTGCCATTGAGCGCGCTTGCCCCACATTCCTCTTAAATTTGTCCAGCCGGGTTCTCGCTTCCAGTAATATGATCCTGTTGGTTTTGTACACCTTTTTATTAAATTTGACACGTGCACTTTTAAGGATATCAGTTACAAAATTAAATATTTATTTTGAATTAATAAAATTATTATAAATTATATAGCTTAGAATATTGAGAATATATTCGATGACGTAGAATATACATACTTGTATACTTTTTTGTATTGAAACCTGTCCAGAATTTTCTATAAAATCAATTTTAAATGTTTTAGCAAGCTCAAGTTGATAATTACGTCGTTTTACACATAGTCATCAAGAAACAAATAATACAATTTAATTTATGACTTAATTAAAAGCTTTTATGATAATTAAATGATAAAGGTTTTTTTTTAATATATGGGGATAGTATAATGTTCTATTTAAGAGTAACAAGTATACTTAGCAGCGTGAACACAAATGAATTTAAATTAACACTAATTTTAAAATTCATTTATTGACAATCAATAATAATAATTAAATTAAAATATGATTATAAATTCAGTTTTAAAAAATAATTTAACAAGCAACTAAGTGAATTGTGTACCATTGCATTGCTTGTACAGCAACATTCAAGGATACACTCAGAAAGCTGCATGGACGGGATTGGACACAGCGCCATATTTACTCCGAGAGTATTTAATTTAAAAGGAAACCGTCCGTAAAACGCTTCTAATTGAACTTGACGCTATGTAATTAGGAAGAAACTCGTTTTTAGACGCGTTTATTCGAATAAATTTAATTTGCGATGATCATATTTAAGTGAGCAAATTTTATAATAATAAAAATCATTTTTTAATATTACAGAAGAGAAATAGGTTAATGCTATAAATATGTTACTCAGAATAACGTAACAGATTTAAAAATATTTCGCAGTTGAATTTTAATAATATTAATATTAAAATTGATAATGAAGTTTTAAAAAATTAAATTCGTGAAATATCTTTCGGATTATAATAACAGGCATTTAGAGACATGTTTTTACGTTGATGGATCCATTAGTGTTATTGCTTTTGCCTTATCGGTTTACAGGTTATTTTGTTTTGTTTTTTCCCTCTCTATTGTACTAGTAGATAATTATAAAAACATTAGAGTCATGGACTACAGAGGTAAGGAGGACAATCTCCCGTAGGAGAATGGTTGAAAATGTGTCTATCTGTAAGCAGTAAACAACAGTTCAAAAACTCTCCACAACAGTGCTCGAATAGCTACAAAGTATAATAAATCACCGTAAAATACGTTGAGTGAATTAGAAAATAAAAATTTTGAAAGCAATAAAATAATTATTGTAAAAAGAAATATGGTGAAAGTCTGTGCAATAAAAAAAATATAAAAAGTTCTTTAAAATTTAGACTGTAGCTACAGTGGCGCCACCCTTATTTAGCGCTTTCCTACGGACACTTTTTTTATACAGAGTCTGTACTCCTTACCTCTACACTCCATAATTAGAGTGCTATTATAAGTTTCAATTGTTTGTCTATAAATCTGCGGTCGTGTCTCTCCAAATAAATATATGACTAATGAATATAATTGCTCTACAAGCCTCCAAATACACGAGTATTTAAGAACCAATTTAAGTGCTATTTCTGTTCAATTGAATTCCGAACAGGAATGCTTTTATTATTGCCGTAGTTCGCTTACCTTCTAACAATGTAATTGAAAAGCTTACGACAAGCGACCACAATTACACAATTAAATCTAAAACTTTCAATTTAAAAAGTCATTTTGTTATGAATGTTTTATGCTCAAGTCATCAATTTTATGTTGTATTTTATTAGTGTTACCGTTGTTTTCTTTAAATATTAATTTTCATAGTATATTTCCGAAGTGTAGCTTGTACATATCGTTTTTGATTATCTCTCTTAATTTTATCTATGTTTTAATGACTATAATACTTGTAAACTGTAAAATAACTAATATCAAACGTTAATAAATGTGTTTTAGTAGGTACGTATTAGATTATTTTAAACACATAGTTGGTGTTTTTAATTAACCCATATTTTATAAAAGTTGTACTAAAAATAAAAGTATATTAATTTAACCATTTTACTGTCCTGTGAGTCATATAATATATGAACATTTCTATTGTTTAACAGCTGTGTCATTTTCACGAACAAGGTATTTGTTAATATAGGATAAGTTGGATCACATTCAAAGACATTTCACATGGTATGTCTAATGGGATTAAGTCTGTGTTTTGTTTTATTTTATAATAGCAAATTCAATAAAGAATAAATAAATAAATAATATCTTTTTGTTGTTTTTGAATCATGCTACAATTTGATTTTTTTTGATTTGTTTAAAAAACTTTACCCCACACTAGGATTTTTTCCTGTATCGTGGCGGCAAAAAAAATACATAATTTTCACAAGATCCACATACTTGTCTCGTACGGGATTCGAACCTGCTACCCTCAGCGCCACAACTCGGGGAGCCCTACCACTGTGGCTTAGCTGAGTTGCGGCGAATTGTGCTAAATCAGTCTATACTTTAGTCCTTGAAATACTGTACTACTATACTACACTACTACACTACTTTAGTCCTTGAATGTTTTCTATGAACCTATAGATGGCAGTAGGCAATATAAATGGAAATACAAATAGGTTTCAGAAAACGGATTGAAGTAGAGTTATCAACAGTAACTTTCACCCGCCCCGAGCGTTTCAATCGTCTTACAAAGGCGGATAATAGGGAAAGTTCGCCGTCGCCGTTTTTCCTGCTGCGCAGCTGGTTAAGAGGAAGAATAAGGATAATATGAGTATAAAATATACAGACAGTATATCGTACCGCTGTTGTACTGCGCTTGCTTGGCGGGTCGTTTGCCCCAGGCCCCGTGCAGCGCTGACCACGCTTTTTTCTCAGGAGCTTCCATTGCAATCTTATCACCAGCTTCCGCCTGTGAATTAAAATTTACCTCTACAAAATTCTATACAATACATCGTTCAAGAAAAGAGCCTTCTCCTTTCTAATAGGCCGGTGACGTACCTGCAACGCTTCGTTTTTTTAATGGGGGTGACAAGCGAGTACACAGTCCACTTTGGTACCCTCGATTAAGAATCAGAATGCAGATGCGTTATCTCCCTTGAGGGCCAAGATAGTATGCCTTGTTTCCAGTAAAAAGGGTCTCCACTTCTCTACACTCGCCATATGAAACACAGATGCATCAAGCTGCTATTTTACGCTGGTGTTCTGTGAAACCATGGACCTTCCCCGGTCGAGCCGACCTATTCGCGCTACCACCATAAAATAGCTGCAGCGCGGCTCTACTTGCGTACAGATGTTTGCGGGTGATGGTGAGCACTTACCATCAGGTGATGGTGAGCACTGTACTTACATAGGTGATGGTGAGCCTTACCTAGGTGATGGTGAGCATTAAGGTGTGGTGAGATCAGGTGATGGTGATTGGGAGGGAGCCTACCATCAGGTGATGGTGAGCACTTACCATCAGGTGATGGTGAGCACTTACCATAGGTGTGGTGAGATTTAGGTGTGGTGGTTGAGCAGGTGATGGTGAGCACTTACCATCAGGTGAGCCGTATGTATGTTTACCTACTTTTCCATAAAAAATTAAAAGTGTATGATAAACTTCAACTAAGGTTCATGGCGGATAAATTTACTAAAGGAATGCTCAATTTCAGTGGATAAAAAGCAAGCAACAGTTAAAAGTGGAGCAGACGCATTCGATTTAACGATGGAGTCAAGTGCATGTACAATGTATTTAAAATAGCACATTTTGTATATCAACTTAAAGGTTTATATTACTTATTTATTGAATTTGAGTATGTATTTATAATTATATTTATTTAAGTATGAGTCAGAAATGAGGGGAGGCATGTGCCTGTGGGACGTGTATAGGCTATAACTTTATCTTTTAAATGCTAATACAACACGTGCATCAAAATCAAAATCTGAGCCCTATTCTGACGAGCTGTCTAGCAAATCCAGAAGCAATATACTCCAACTCATTGTAACACTCTGTATAAACAATTTCCTTCAAAACACGTCTAGTAAGTTTGAAGAATTTCAGATAAAATATTATTGTATCCGCGTAGTCTATAACTCGCTTATCATCACATTATTACATAAAACAACGAAAAAATAAATATAATCGATTTGCCTTTATTTTCATCAATGTGTATCGTACGAGGAAATGCAGTTTTATTTCATCCAAAAGATTAAATAGTCTCAATAAAGATACACAGGATGAGTGGCAATGAGCGGACCATGGAACATCCGTCAACCGATGGAAAATAAATGTTCTCGAGTGGCAGCCTCATACCGGTGAGCGAAATGTACGTTAAAAGTCCGCCCGTAAGATGTGTCTACAAAAATGTTAAAATTCAAGCGCCTAATGATGTTTGTGATGGCTGCAATTAACGTTTCTTTGTTTCATTTCCCGTCTAACAGCCATGAGATAAAGTGTATCATCGGAGTTTTTGTGTTTTTCCGCGACGGGTCTTACAGAACTTAGCTCTAACAGTTTCTGATAGTTTCCACAAGCTTGTCATTCATATCGTCCACTTCATTACTGTCTTCTAGGCAATGAAAACGATTTTGTAACTCGAGCTGAAAGTTTTCGGGGGTTTCGATTAGAGCACGAAGGAGATGGAGCATTGACTTTTACCATTCGGGGATCGCTGCCAGTTTTCACTCTTGCGATCACTAAGACATCACTGAACAGTTGTCGTCTGGTCGTCATAATGAAGTTAATCTCATTTTTTGTCGAACTGTAGGGCCGCTTTTGGAAGAAAGAGTTCATTAAAGTCCCTCTTTCTCCACAATGTCAGCCAGCTGCTGGCCCCTTGGTTTTCGTTGGCCTGTTCTGAATTTCCTTACTTTCAGCTCACCGTTCTCTCTTGTGCTTAGCTTAGTTTTGCATAGAAGTTTTACATTAATACCGTTTAGTGGATTTTGGAGGAAAGCATGGCTCTAGTGATTCACATTTTTTCACCTTTTCTTCTATATGTGCCGAGGTTAGTACATAAACCTGTATGACCTTCAACGAATAACGTTTGGTGATTCTGAGTAAAAGGTACGTAGCCCTAGTAGACACACTCTCAATCTTTACAACTTTGTTAACAAGAAATTTGTGGACGATAAATCCGACACCTCTTTGGGACAGATGGTAGCCCTCCCAGGTGGTGAGGACAGGTGATGATTACCGTGTCTCACCCCTCTCTTCGGACCTCAGATTATCCAACAATACCCCAACGCTTCTTGTTTATCTCTTTTTCCAGCTCCATGATCTTCTCGTCAGTCTTCAGAGGAGATTCCTCCGCCGGAGATTCTTAGCACCGCCTGCTGCGTCGTTACTTATTATATTTTATTTAATTACGCGGGTTTTACCTATATAGTTTTAAGCATCTTTAATAGGTGCGGATAAATTAAAATTAGAAAGAGGTAAACCTGTTGAATAGGAGTAAGAGTTTCAACGGCCATTTCATAATCATCAAGTTCCGGTTCAGTGCCTGTCCTCTTTCCCCACGATCCGTGGAAGTTCCCCCATTTTTCCTGTTGGGAAATGAAATTCATAAATACACGAGGAATAATGAAAGAAATATTTAAATGTATTTTTTATAGAGTGACCAACGAGCAGTCCAGCTGATGGTAAATGGATGCCGTGTCCCATAGATATCTACATTTATCCTCGATTAAAAATCAAAATTTAGATGCGTTGTCACTCCTGACGTCTAACATGAAACGTCTAGTTTCCAGTAAAAACGGTCTCCGCTCACCATACGAAGTACAGCAGTATTAAGCAGCTATTTCTCTGCTGAGATTCGGTACGAGCGTAGTTCTGCACCGGCCGAGCCGACTCATTGTGCTACAGCCAAAATACAGCTGCACTGTAGCTCTACCACGTACATGTGTCAAAAGTTTTACTTACAGCAGGTCCTCGTTTGCCCCAAGCTGAGCTCATGTCTTGCCAGCCACGTTTGCCCCAAGCTGAGCTCATGTCTTGCCAGCCACGTTTGCCCCATGCTGAGCTCATGTCCTGCCAACCCCTCTTACCCCAAGGAGCCTGATACATATCTCTCCATGCGCGTTTGCCCCACGCGGTGTTGAGATCTTGCCATCCACGTTTTCCCCAAGCAGAGTTTAGATCTTGCCATCCCCTCTTGCCCCAAGCCGAGTTCAGATCTTGCCAGCCTCGTTTGCCCCATGCTGAGTTAAGGTCTTGCCAGCCGCGTTTTCCCCAGACCGAGTTGAGATCTTGCCAGGCTCGTTTCCCCCATGCTGAGCTCATATCCTGCCATCCCCTTTTCCCCCAGCCTCCGCCACCGTGCAAGCTTGACCAGGCTCGTTTTTCTTCTTGTGTTAATTCCGAGTCAGCGTCCACCTGGCAACAAGGAGTGAATGTTTAATGTTCAATTACTGCTGCCGCTCGACAGTAACGCGACCTCGAAAAGTAATTTTTCTCGTTACGTAAATTGATATTTAAAAATTTAAACAGAAAATTAAAAAAAAAAACACTTGAGGAATGCTAAGATCTTTCTTATGGAATTCATTTTCTTATTGTTAGGAGCAATATAGAGATTAAAGCGAGCCTTTAAATAACAAGCCCAATGGTTGAAACGTAGTAGAACCATACTATAGCCATATTATGGCCAGAGACAATTTTTACTGAAATTGAGGCATAATCCTATGGGTGGACTAAGATATAATCACAATCGTGACAACACATCTGTATTTTGGATATTTGTCTATGGACCGCAGCATCCTCTTACCGTCAGGTAGACTGTAAGATCGCTTGTCACCTAATTCTATAAAATAAAAGATATAAATAAAAGATTGTAATTTTGCATAGGTCATATGGACCTCTTGAATACTAAAAATCCCAATCCGAATTATTGTTATTAAATTCTAGGTTATGAAGGTCCGTAGAAACCTATGCCACGTCTAGGTTATTTAATAAATTAAAATTATCATCAATGTAAAGTTCAATGTAAAAACAAATGTTGAAAAATCTGTAAAGTGCAAATAGTTAATATTCGGTTTCAACAGGTGTGGCAAAGTTATTGGTTCGGTCAGTTTCGGTAGGAGCTTGGCTTATCCAAATTTCGACTTTTTTATTAATTAATAGAATCAGGCGCTACTTTGTACGGAAATCTATTATATTAACGATGTTATAAATTAATTAGCTAAGATTAGCGTAATAAAACAAAATGACGTATTGTTTTTGTTTGTCTTTACCAGCGGAGTCTAATCTTTCTGATGATGCCTCAAGTAGTCGTGAAGCACGTGTAGCATTATCCACGTTGGTGTGTGTTCCCCAGGGTGGTGGTAGTGGTGCTGGACTACTGGTGACGGCGATAATGCACACAATGGATGGAGGGCGAGATGTGCTCTTGCAAATGAGACATGAGAGATGTAAATATATACAGGTATCTTGACATATATTGGACATGAAATCACGAATACAAAATTGTGTAATAAAGTCACTACATCAAGATTTAATAGCCTTCTATTTACAACTCAAAACTCTATCACAGTTCTGTTGTGTTCCTGACAAAGAAAAGTAAATAAAGACCAACTTTACAGTTAATCACAAAGGGGTAGACCATTACATTGGATTCGAGATCGTTTCATTTATATAGTTTCAATACTGCACTATGTTTTCGTTTTGGTTCAATTGGTCAGCGTTTCTCAAAGCTTTGTGGAGGCTTGGGGGGTGGGGCAGGAGTTCGTTAGCGATTAATTGACGCGTATTTGGAAGAAGAAAGTTTTGTTCAATAAAAGCGATCCGTTGCAGAATAGAAAAAAGAAATTATATAATGACTTATAATTAATGTCATTAAATATTAAAGAATAGAGAGAAGAATATTGGGAGTGCGGAGAACAAATATAATATAGTTAAAAATATTTAAGTTTGGAAAAGTTCAATCAGTATGCAGAAAATTGAAATACCGCTGTACATATTTTGAGAGAGACCAAACAAATTCCGAGAATATGATTTATTTAGTTAAGTTAATTAGTTTTGTTACCACTGTATACACTTTCAACTTTTAAATAATTGTTTTGATAGATAAGTTAAAAACTAACAGCAATAAAGGTTTATTTATTCATTTATTTTAAAATAATTAACGCTTTAACGCTTTTTAAATATCAGCGATAGAATGAACAAAGCGGCTAAAATTGTAAGCCATTACTTGTCACGTTCAGGTAACAAGTGGCGTAGTCTTTAGTGTGATTACACACTGCGAGAGGGCATATTTGTGTGTTATAACTTTGGTTAATAGAAAATAATTTTTGAAAAAAATATACCTTATGCGTTGAAGCTTGTCTTAATTGTTATTATTTTAATACGTGTATTTTCTATTAAAAGCTAGGTAACGATATTGATGGACGAGATGAAAGTTTTTGTATGAAAATGTTTCCAATGACCGCAAAATAGCATAAATTGCAAAACTTACACAAATAATTCAAAAGGTAAATGTAACTATAAAGTAGTGACACAACTAATAAACAAATTGCTACAATTTTGTTTGGTTAGGTTAGGTTATAGATGTATCCTCGATTAAGAATCAAACGCAGATGCGGTGCCAATCCCGAGGACTGTGACGGAATGCCTCGTTTCCAGTAAAAAATGTCTCCGGTTCTCTACGCTCACTTTACGAAACACAGCATCATTAAGATACTACTTTAAGCTGGTATGCTGTAAGAGCGTGGTTCCTCTTGCAACCAAAGAGGAACCACGCTGAAGACGAAAAATTCTTGCTATAACCATAAAATAACTGCAGCATGGCTCTACCACGTAAAACATCTTTTTGAGTTTTACGTTATGTAACATACATGGAATACTGTAAACAGTTATAAGTAAAAACAAGATAACACCAAAAATAGATTAATTATGCAAATTACCAGGTTTCTGATGACACTGACGTCTTGCCCTACTTTTAAATGCGAGACTATTATGAAATGAATTATTGAAAACTCAAAATATTTTTTTTATATTTCCCACTTTATTCTTTTTTATATTATCTCTGCCTACCCCTCTGGGTGACAGGCGTGTGTGATTATGTGTGTACTTGATACGATTTTTTATAGTTTATATTTAAAAAAAAATCTATGACGCCTATTGTTTCACTAAATTTACTTCTTATACGATCATAATTATCAAAAAGTTCTCGTATAGTGTGATTAAGAATGATCATCATCAACATCTTAAGATGTTTTAAAAACATTTCAATGTATACAATTATAACATAATAAAAAGGTGATATGTAATATAATGTGATTATAATCCACAAATATTATCATTGTACTTTCTTGGGACAACCAAGCAGTTGTATTTTAAAATTTAAAGGTTTCAACCATAGAACACAACGTCTACTCTAAACTTAACCTGCCCTCGGCATTCGGGTGTTCGATAAGGAGTGGTAAATGGGAAACCATTTAGTAGTTTATTGTTTTTGTACTTATTATGTATTGATCTGTATAACCTTTAGCTATGACTTCGTCAAATTCACTGACCCCCTAAAATACAGAATATAAACTCTATTTACATTATATTTATGAACATTTTTGGCCAAAAATCGCATTGTTATTATTACTAGGTAATGTCAAATTTGTCGTGATAAAGCCAGGCTACAGCTATATTATGGTTGTAGCACGAATGGGTAAAATAGCGGCTTTATGCTGCTGTGTTTCTTATGGTGAGTGTAGAGTACCGAAGGGTCTCCCCTTTTTACTGGAAATGAGATATCTTAGTCCACGCCAAATAAAGCTTTATTTGTAATAAAAAATATTTGACATTATGGACATAAATAAAAATGATATAATTTAGGACCGACCCTTTGCAATCCGAAATAAGGTTTCAAGCTTATAACTTCTCCAGAGGAAATATTTTCCGTGTTGATCGTCATAAAAATTAACAGCCCATGAAGTGGGGCCGCTAAAATAACTTCAATTAGTCGGCTGGCTTAATGTTGGCGGAATGACGAAGGCGGGCAAGTGCCATTAGCATTTCGAAAAAATAATTAAACACTTGAATGGCTTTTTGTTGTTATTGAAGATTTCATTTGAAAAACTCCTAAATTTAAAATACCGCTTGACAATGGGCTGCTTTTTGAGTAAGGTTACTAATTCACCTGTGCCTTAAATGACGTGTAGTGGTGGTGTAGAATATCCACTCCCGGTATAGTCCTGTGGCGGCCGCAAGTGGCGACGGAGGGAAACAAATCAGAGTATGGCCACTAGCGTGCAACGAATATCTGCGAAATGAAAACTTGCGGTTTGCAACCCGCCTGCCGAGCGTGCTAATTTTGGCAGATGGCCCCCTTATGAGTCAACATGTGGGTACTCCACAAATCATTTTATGATTAGCAGTGGCTTATCAAAGTGAATGAACAAATGAAATAGATCAGACCGAATTTCGGACAGATTCCGCGCACGAGAGGATTATAGCGCCTGAGTGTATGTCCTAAGTACACGTGCATTCTCTATTCCGTCTTTCTCATAGTCCGATGGAACGGTAAATCGATACGACCGAAGAGAGATCAGGTGCAGGACCAACGGCTTTACGTGCCTTCTGAGGCACGGGGGTGAGACACCGCCAACTTCCCGACACCGGGCTGCTACCGAAAGATATTAACAGAAAAACTCATTGAACTTTTTTTGGCCCGACCCAAGAATCGAACCCGTATGTGTTTAAGACCATTATACCAACGAGGCAGTCAGTATTATATGTAATGAAAAGTACATGATTATTATATTTCTAATCGGTAAATTCAACGCTCCCTCCGAGGGGCAGACGAAAATTATAATGTCACTTAATTTTATCATCTGTGAGATTATCTTGACAGGAGCAGACTCGCTCGAGAGTCACTAAACGGGAGCCTCACGCGGAAAGTTGGCGGGCTGTGACGGAACAATTTTTATATTACCAACAGATGGAAGAGTTTTAAAATTTAAGTATCTTATACATATAATATATTTAGTTTGCCTATGTATACTCACATCATACTAAGACTTTATATGTTTAAATTTCTTTTATTTATTACATACGTAGGATATACTAATGTAACCTGTGATGTGTTAAGACTCAAGATAATCAAAGATTAATTTATCAATTCTTCGGTTTTTTTTAAATCTTCAAGTTTTTATTGGAAAAATATCACCTGGAACCTAAATCGTTCCTGATATTGCTTGCTATCTGTTCGTAAATTTCATTACAATCGGTTCAGCCATCTTGATACGATGCCGTATGACAGATAAACAGACAGACAAATTTATTTAAATGTTATAACCATGTCTTACCAGCACGCTAACCAGTTCAATAAAGTAAGACAGTTATGTCGATATTACAGACGTACATTTTAATTTTATTTAATATAAATA